AATGCAACAGTGACACTCACAAGACAGCGTGGGGGGGAGTGGGAGAGAAACGAGAGGGGGTAACAACGCTTGAAATGTACTCACTGCCCTAGGTATGTAACTGTAACCCCTCTGTCCATCACCTTGACAATAAAGTTAAATTTTTTTAAAAAAGCAGGAGCCTGCTAGGAGGCCCACAAAGTGCCAGGGGGCAGAGCTGGAATAAAGATTCAGCCCTCAATGTTTTTTTAAATGGCAGCCCTGGGGTTTGAACTCTAGACCTGGGCGCTGTCCCTGAGCTTTTGTGAGCAAGGCTAGTGCTCTACCACTTGAGTCATAGCTCCATTTCTGGCTCTGTGTGTGTGTGTGTGTGTGTGTGTGTGTGTGTGTGTGTGTGTTTAACTGGAGATAAAAGTCTCATGGACTTTCCCTGCTCTAGATGGCTCCAACTATGATCCTCAGATCTCAGCCTCCTGAGTAGCTAGGATGACAAGCGTAAGACACCACATCCAGTGGGATCCAGCCTGTTTATGTCCTGTCCCATCAGCCAGAGACCACCAACCCCAGGGCACAGAAGTCCCTGTCCAGAGTCGTCAAGAGCATCTGGGGGTTGCCGTGTGGGGAGGCACGGGAAGACAGGCAGCCAGGCCCCTCCTGCCCACCTTGCTGCTCGGAGCTGGGCTGGGGGCCTACCCCAGCCACAGCCCAGCACTAGCTCTGGAGATCCAGAAGCCAGCTTGCTGGGCTCTGGCAAAAACATCACAATGCCCAGCTCCTGGGAGGTTTCTGCATCAGCAGCCTGTCCCTTGCCCGGAAATGTGAGTCTGAGAGTTTCTGAGGGCCGACATGGCACCATCATGGAAAGCCCCTCGCCCGGCCTCCAGGGGCAGGCGTGCTGAAGATGCGTGTCTGTGGACTCAGGGGTAGGCTTTGGTCCTGCCCCAGCAGGTCTCATTACGCAGACATGCACACGCACTTCAGGACCCTGGACAGCACCCCAGGCCTACTTCCTGGGGTCCATGGGAGCAATCCCAGTTGCAACACCCCAAATGTGGACAGACATTGCAAATACCCCCTGGATCGGGTTTCCAGTCCAGCCAAACACTTCTCTGTTATTTACCTGAAATTCAGGTGTACTAGGATGGCCTCTATGTTATCTGCAACTCAGTTAACATGTCTCTTATTGTTTTTAACAATTACTGAGATAAGCCGGGTATGGTGGTGCATGCCTGCAACCCCAGTATGCGGGAGGTACAGGTAGAAGACCAGCAAGCTCAAGGCCAGAAGGGGCTACAATCTGTCAAAAACCAAACCAAACCACCCCTCCCCCTGCAACAAACAAAAACAAACCAAGAGAAGAGAAAGGGGCCTGGGTTGGAGCCAGCCCAGAGTCGCCCTGTGACACCGTTAGTTTCCAGCCATCACCCCCAGGCCAGGGCTGGCGCCTCTCGCTTCCCAACGGAGGCAGTGACAAGGGCCCCGCAATAGTCCACCCTTTCTGCCAGCCTGCTCTGACTCACTGAATGTGGCTTCAATGACGACATCACAGCAGCAGGACCGGCCTTCTCCCGGCCTCTTTCCAGGGTCCCAGCTGGTTCCCCCCCCCCCACTTTCCTCCCCTCCAATTAAAGAGGCCTCCAGGCCCGGCAGAGGCAGGAAAACAAGGCAGTTAGTCACTTGGCTTCCGTTTTGTCAAGGCAGGTCACATCACAGGGCTGGCTCTTTTCATGGTCGTTGTCATAGCAACAGGAAGCCGGTCTCCTCCCTGCTCCAAACCCCCCTCCCTCCAAACCAAAGCACCAGGATGAGGAGGCAGGGAGGGACCAGGCAGCGTCCTCCAGACCCGATCTATGTGGAGGCTGTCGCGGGGCCACACTGTCACCAGCTTTCCTTTGGTGCCACACGGGGACCAGAAAACAACCACCATCACCGTCATAAAGCCCCAACCCTGGGGACACTTGGGCAAAGCTGACGAGTGTTTCCTGCCCAGATAAGGGACAAACACACGACACTGCCCAGGTCATGGGCCGAGGCGGACGCTGTGGAGACAGAGGCGGGAGTAGTTCCTGACCCGCAGCTCCATTCCAGCCCCTCTGCACCCTTCCCGCCCCCACCCCCCTTCTGCTTCTCCGGTGGTTCTGGCAGGTTCCCTTCTCTCTGCCCGGATCCTTCAGAGCCCTCCAGGGGGCCACATGCTGCGGGTGAGGTTGGCAACTCGTGCAGCCGCTATAGGAGTCAGTGTGGAGGCCCCTCGAAAGACGAAACACGGTCCTGAGAGCAGAACCGCCATGGGACCCGTGCCACCCCACTCTGGGCAGACATCCAGAGGAGCACAGGCAGTTCCCACAGACGTCTGTGCATGGCCAACTTCACTGTGGCTCTGTGCACAACGGCCAAACCAGGGGCCCAGCCGTGGCACCCACCACAGGTGAATGGATCAAGTGTGGTATATGTATGTATGGGGGGAATACTACTCAGCCATAAAGAAAACACCAAACCATGTCATTTTCAGGGCTGGGGATGGAACAGGAGATCATCATGTTGAGTGAGATGCGCAGGGCCCAAATGCCCGATGCCGCCTGTTTTCACTCACTCAGGGAGGGCGCAGCTAAAATGATGACCACGATGGTGACGGCGGCGGCAGGGAATACGCACGCGCAGAGGGCACCGTCTAGCAGGGCAGCAGTGGGGGGCATTGAAGATAAGACAGTGGAGCCCACCAAATGCCATCTGAAAAGGCGGGAGGAGGGCGGAGAGAAGTGGGAGCAACGGCAGGGGCCGGGGTGAGTTTGTTCCAAGTGTGCTGTGTGCATAAACGGAACCATCGCCACAAACCCCTCACACTACCCATGGAGACGATGTAAAAAATAAGATAGTAACACTTTTTTTTTTTTTGGTTGGCCATGGGGGCCTGAACTCTGGGCCTGGGCGCTGTCCCTCAGCTCTTCAGCTCAAGGCTAGCGCTCTACCCCTTGAGCCACAGCATCACTTCCGGCTTTTTCTGCATATGTGGTGCTGAGGAATCGAACCCAGGGCCTCATGCATGCGAGGCAAGCACTCTACCACTGAGCCACCTTCCCAGCGCCCCCCCCCCCCCCTTTTTAAAGATGGCCGTGTAGCCACAATCACAGAATCTTCTTCCCTGCTGACTGGTCTGCTGTCCTAGCTTCACCTGGACATGCTGTCGCCCCCAGATCTTCAAATCCTCGGGGGAGTCTTCCTGGGCCCTGCAGGCTCTCAGTTCCCCCTGTTGACTGCAGTGGGCAAGCAGGCAGAGCTGCCCCCAGAGAGAAGCCTGGGATGGTATCTGAAGGCCCAGGGCTCCTCTGAACCCTGGCAGTGGCCGGATGAGGGGGCTGGACTGATGCTCAGATTTCTAGGTGAAGGGTTTCCGTCCCACGTTGATGGCAGAGATACCCCTCTCCAAGGAGGGCAGACAGGAAGAAAAGGATGGGGTGGGGGAAGTACAGGCTCCTGACCAAGCTTTTAGGAGCCTCCCTGCCCAATAGGGAGCTCAAAGATGGCTGACTTGCCCCTGCAGGTCTTAGAGCGCCGCTTTTCTCTGAGCCCCAACACTGCGGTCTGCACACTGGACGTGATGCCACCCACACCATGTCAGCAGGGTAGGCTTGTGTGTCATGTGGGATCAGGGCAAAGCCTGGCTCTGGGGTCCCCGAGGCCCCACTCTGCCTCTCCTTGGCTGGGGCGGGGGTGGGGGTGGGGCTCGAGCATGCCCCCTCTTCCTCAGTACATACAGAATTTAGAAATGCTCACCAACCGGCCTCTTTCTGAGTCTTGCCTTCTGATTCTAGATCTGGAGTTGCACAGATCTGCCCCCCTCCCTCCACCAAGCGGGGTGACAGGGCTCTCTCATCAGGAGCTGGCCTGGGCAGTGAGCCAGGCAGAATGCTCATGGCAAACCCCACAGCTGGCTGCCACCGCGCCCTCCCCCCAGCAGGGAGGCTGGGAGCCTGGACTTCTGGTCACCAGGGCAACGCAGCCCTCACCCCCCACCCCCTCCGCCCAGCCTGTCCAGGAACCCTCGGCGGACTGACTGGGACCAGGACTGGCGCTGAGGCACTGGGACGGAGCTGAGCCAGCGCCTGGGCTGGAGCTCTCCCAGGTACCTGCAGACTCCATTCCGCCAGCAGCTGCCCTTGCAAATGAGCCAACCATTTCCTCAGAGCAGAGTCGCCGCGCTCCGCTCCAACATGGATCCGCGGAGCGCCCGGAACGCCCAGGCGTGGCCGCCAAGGCACAAGCCCACGGCGGCCTAACCAAGTCAGGAGACGGCGGGGCCTGGGGGCCTGGCGGGGGGGAGCGTCCGGGGCTGCTTCCTCTGCGTCTTCACCAGGCTGAGCTGAAACTTCCAGACCTTTCCGAGGGACGCCCCCACCCCAATTCTAGCTTGCCTCCTCCTCGATAGCAGCAGGAGGTGGAGCTGATCCCTTCCACGGAACGGGACGTGCGCACGCGGAGACACACCCCCGCCCCCCGGGCAGCAGCAGGGCCTGGGGGGCCGCCACCCCGCAGGGAGGGGCTCCCCGCGCTCCCCCGCACCCCGACGCACGCGTACGCACACACACAGCCACGCACAGGAAGCGGGCCGGGGACCGGGCCGCCCGCAGGCACGACGCCATTCCAGGCTGGCGTGTGAGGGCCCGGGAGGCCGGAGTGGCGGCGGCCGGGGCGCGGGGCGGCCGGGGCGCGGGGCTGCGGGGAGGGCGGGGACGCGCGGCGCACGCCCGGCCGCCGTCACCCCCCCCCGCCCGGGCACACTCGCTCACACTCCCGCAGAACCACACCCGCGCACACTCGCGGGTCCCCGCCGGGCGCGCGGCTGTTCGCATGGACGCCAACGCGCCTGCCCCGCGCGGGCGAGGGCACGCCGAGACACACGCGCGCACACGCACACGTCTCCAGCTCTTCCCGCCTCCTCAGGGACCCGCAAGGTCACGGGCCGGGACCCCGAGGCCGCCCCGGCCCGCCGCCCGGCCCCGCCTGCGCCCGCCGGCACCCACCTCCTTCTTCACGGTGCGCAGCAGCCGCTGGCGGGTCTCGGCCTCTGGGGGACGAGCGGGGCGACGCGGGTCAGCGGCGCGGGCCGGGGGGTCCGAGGGGGCCCCGCCGTCCCCCCAACGCCCCGCGCGCCCCGCCTTACCCGCGGGGACCGCGGCCATGGCGCCCGGCGTCGGTCTGTCCTTCCCGCGGCTCTAAAGGCTCCCGCTCGGTTCCCCGTGCGGCGGCCGTGCGGGGCGGGGCCTGGGCGCGGGGCGGGGCCTGGGCGCGGGGCGGGGCCTGGGCGCGGGGCGGGGCCTGGGCGCGGGGCGGGCCTGGGCGCGGGGCGGGGCCTGGGCACGGAGGGGGGCCTGGGCGCGGGGCGGGGCCTGGGCGCGGGGCGGGCCTGGGCACGGAGGGGGGCCTGGGCGCGGGGCGGGGCCTGGGCGCGGGGCGGGCCTGGGCACGGAGGGGGGCCTGGGCGCGGGGCGGGGCCTGGGCACGGAGGGGGGCCTGGGCGCGGGGCGGGGCCTGGGCGCGAGGCGGGCCTGGGCGCGGGGCGGGGCCTGGGCGCGGGGCGGGGCCTGGGCGCGGGGCGGGGCCTGGGCGCGGAGGGGAGGCCTGGGCACGGAGGGGGGCCTGGGCACGGAGGGCGGGGCCTGGGCACGGAGGGCGGGCACGGAGGGCGGGCCTGGGCGCGGGGCGGGCCTGGGCGCGGGGCGGGGCCTGGGCTTGGGGTGGGGCCTGGGCGCGGGGCGGGGCCTGCGCGCTGGGCGGGGAGCGGGCAGGTCGTGGGTGGGGCTTGGGGCCTGGGCGGGGCACACGGCGGGGGCGGGGCCTGCGCGCTGGGCGGGGGGCGGGCAGGTCGTGGGTGGGGTTTGGGGCCGGGGCGGGCGCACGGCGGGGGCGGGGCCTGCGCGCTTGGCGGGGGGCGGGCAGGTCGTGGGTGGGGCTTGGGGCCTGGGCGGGGCGCACGGCGGGGGCGGGGCCTGCGCGGGGGGGTGTGGAGGGGGGCGTGGAGGGCGGGGCCGGACGGCCCTGGGACCGCGGTGCGAGTCGGGGAGGCCGCTGTGCAGCGGCCTGGCGGCAGAGGGCGGTTCGGGGGCGGTTGCAGGTGCGGGTCAGAGTCCCGGCGCGGGGCGGCGGCGACCGTAGCAAGCCGGGAAGCGCGAGCCTGCGGGGCCAGGGCAGCCGGGTTCATTTGACGCGTCGGGACAAATGGGAAGCGGGCGCCCTTCCGTGCTGCAGCCGCGACCCGTCCCGACCCGTCCCGTGTTCCCGGCGTCCGCTAGAGGCGGTGGAGAGCCGCGATCGCCTCGTGGGCGGAGGCCTGAGCCGCGTCCCGCAGTCTGTGCGGGTCTGTCGGTCAGTCCGTCCCTCCGTCTGTCCGACTGTCTGTCGGTCGGTCTGTCGATCTGTTGATCTGTCTGTCCGTCCGTCTGTCGGTCTGCCCATCTGTCAGTCTGTCGGTCTGTCCATCTGTCTGTCGGTCTGTCCGTTTGTCGGTCTGTCAGTCTGTCAGTCTGTAGGTTTGTCCGTCCGTCTGTACATCTGTCAGTCTGTGGGTCTATCCGTCCGTCTGTACATCTGTCAGTCTGTCAGTCTGTCGGTCTGTCCGTCCGTCTTGTACATCTGTCGGTCTCTCTCGCGTCCTTGCTCTTTTTTTTTTTGCTGGTCGTGGGGCCTGAACTCTGGGCCTGGGCGCTGTCCCTCAGCTCTTCAGCTCAAGGCTAGCGCTCTACCACTTGAGTCACAGCGCCACTTCCGGCTTTTCTTTTCACTTATGTGGTGCTGAGGAATGGAACCCAGGGCCTCCTGCATGCAAGGCAAGCGCTCTACCACTGAGCCACCTTCCCAGCTCCCCTTGCTCTCATTTTCCCCAACAGTTGGGAAACATTATCAGTTATACTACCCAGAATTATTCAAAAAGCGACCTCGTTTATGTCAACCAGAATGTCCGATGTTTTACTTTTACACTCTTTGAATCTCCCGAGTCAGTGTGTTCTGCACTGTGAAGGGAGTGGTATTTCCACGGGGCGGAGGGCGGGGTAGGGGTTAGCATGGGGGCGAGTGGGGGGGGCTTTCAACAAACTCCCCTCCCCTTTCCCCCCTCCCTCCTCCTCCTCCCCCCAAACCAACCTTCCTCATGGCTTGCCACCATACCCCTCTCAAGCAGATATCCAAAGGAAAATAAATCCACACCGAGATGCTTGCACACCTTTATTACGGCTCTGATCACGATAGCCACCTTGTGGGGTCGGCTGAGGTGGCTGGCATGGGTGAATGGGTAATGAGAACGTGGTCAGGCATTTGCCATGGGGCATTTCACAGATGGAAAGGAAAACGCAGCCATGCCGTTCGCAGGGTAAGTGGATGGGTCTGGAGATAATGGCAATGGTGATAAAGGGGGTGATGGGGATGGTGAGGATGGTAGGTGTGAATGGGGGGTCATCTAAGAAGGGTTGACAACAGAATGCAGCAGGAGCGGGGAAAGGTGGCGACACCCTGGGGGTGAAGAACACCTATTTTTCTTCCCTTAGCTGGTACAAGAAATTATTTCAAATTTCTGGCATTTGTAAAGGTTTGCTTTGGGACCTAAGCTGAGCCCTGTGTCTCTGCCTCTAATTCTAGCCATTCCAGGTAAAGATTGGGAGGATCACACCTCAGAGCCAGCCAGGCCAAAAAGTTGGCAAGAGCCCATCTCAACCAACAGCGGGATGTGTGGTGTGTGCCTGTCACCCCAGCCACATGGGAGCTGAGACCACAAGGACTGCACTTCCAGAACAGCCCAGTCCAAACAACCACCACCACAAAAAGTTCATGAGACACCCCCCCATCTCAACAGAAAAGATGGGGCGCTGTGGCATCCCTGCCATCCCAGCTACAGAAGGAAGTGTACATAAGAGAGCTGTGGTAGCGGCAGGCCTGGGGAAATAAGGGAGAGCTTGTCTCAGAAGTAACTAGAGGGCTGGGAAGGTGGCTCAGTGGTACAGTGCTCACCTCGCATGCCTGAGGCCCTGGGTTCGATTCCTCAGCACCACATAAGCAGAAAAAGCCGGAAGTGGCGCTGTGGCTCAAGTGGTAGAGCGCTAGCCTTGAGCTGAAGAGCTGAGGGACAGCGCCCAGGCCGAGTTCAGGCCCCATGACCGACAAAAATAGAGTCCAAGGAGCTGCAGGCATGACTCGGGTGTGATAGTTAATAGTCTGCCTAGCAAGCTCAAGGTCCCCGGTCCTACCCCCTGCCTTATGACCTAAAGGTGATGTATTTTGGAGGAAGTTCCACGTGTGCCCTGCAGCCGGGGGGGGGGGGGGGGAGGCATCCGTGATGTCTGCTGTTGGAGTCACTTGCTGTCACTGTGTGGGCCCGGCCACCCTTCATGTCCACAGGTGCTTGTTCCTCCATGCTGCCGGTGTGCCCTTGTCCCGCACAAGCATCCCTATGGTGGTTGTGCCTCTGTGGTGGGGTGTCATCACCCCGTGTCCACGCAGCAACCTTTGTCTTTGCTGTGTGCGTCATCAGACAAGGGGAGTTGCTTTGTCCCCGGTACCTGTTTCCTGCCCTTTCTCCAGCCCATCTTTGCTGGGGAGGGTGGAGGCGTGCCTCTAGCCAGAAGCCGTTGTTCAGGGCTTGTTTTTAAATCCAGTTGGCTGGCCAGTGTCTTTTTTGTCTATTTTTATTGGTCGTGAGACTTGAACTCAGGGCCTGAGCGCTGTCCTTGAGCTCTTTTGCTCAAGGCTAGTGCTCTAGCCCTTTGAGCCACAGCGCCACTTCTGGTTTCCTGGTGGTTCCTTGGAGATAAGAATCTCATAGACTTTCCTTGCCTGGGCTGGCTTTGAAGCATGATCCTCACGTCTCAGCCTCCTGAGTAGCTAGGATGACAGGCTCCTGTGTCTTTTAATTGGTGAGCTTTAAGACCATTTGCGCTGAGGCTGCTGACAGGCAGTGACTGAATCTTGTCATTGTGTCTGCTTGTGATGGTGTTCTGGGTTCTTCCCAAACATGATTCTTTCTGCTCTGCTGGTCACGTGTCTTCTTCCCCTTCTGTGTGTCCGATTCCTTTAAGTACCAGCGTGGTGCATCTCTTTAGGCTGTGGCTGGTGGCCTGGACTCTGTGCCTCCTCAGTCAACACTGAGGACCCTCTGGGGGCTGGACTACGATGACACCGGGGAGCCATACCTGCAGTGGGCTCCCCATGGGTCTGCCCGGGGCTGAGGCATCTGCTCATTCTGCCCGCAGGAGCAGGGGCAGCCTCTGTCTCCAGTGCCTCTTTTAACAACCATTGGATATAAAAGGTGTTTACAACCCATGTAGAAAGAAACCTGATGACATACCAAAAACAAAACAAAAAAAAACACCTACAAAACCTCCAGAACATTAAAAAAAATAACATCTTTCTGGGCATAGCAGTGCACACCTATAAGCCCAGCTACTCAGCACAGTGGCCATCAGGAGGACAATGGCTTGGGTCTGCCTGGGTATAAATGCAAGACCCTACTGGGAAAAAAAAATAGAAAAAAGCAGAAAGGGTGGGTATGGCTCAAGTAATAGAGCACCTAACTATCAAGTGCCAGGCCCTGCGTTCAAACCCCAGAGCCACTGACCCCACAGCATCCACACCACCATTAAAAGAAGAGGACAGCTGGGTACTGGTGGTTGATCATGCCTGTCATCCTAGCTACTCAGGAGGCTGAGATCTGAGGATCTCAGTTCAAAGCCAGCCCAGGCAGGAAAGTCTATGAGACTCTTATCTCCAATTACCCTTTAGAAAAAAAAAAAATGAAGAAGTACTATGGCTCAAAGTGGTAGAGTGCTAGCCTTGAGCAAAAAATTCAGGAAGAGCACACGGGCCCTGAGTTCAAGCCGTAGGACAAAAAACAAAAGAGGACAAATGACAGAGTTGATACAGAATGTCCTCCATAAATCCATTGGAAGCACACGGCCTCTGGTGTCCGGAAGTGGACACACAGGAGATGGAGATATCATCTGGGTGTTTTACTTCTGCACAGATGGGGCTCTGCCTCTTGCCCCAGGGTGCGGGCACCCAAGCGTGGGTCTACTGGGTTTGGTCCCAACCCAAGGTATGTGCCTCTGTGTGTGTGTGTGTGTGTGTGTGTGTGTGTGTGTGTGTGTGTGTGTGTGTGTGTGTGAGATATCCCTTCTCCTTGTTTCCTAGGAATCAGGCTCACTTT